TGTCCTATGGACGTCTTATGGATATCCATTTGGCTTCAGTGTGCTATTAGGGTCGAGATTAGGGTATTTACTCGGAAACAGTGAGTTCAACATAAAATAGTGTGTTGTTTTTTTTTCAAATCACGATTTTCAACCTACCTGAGATATTGTACGTTCCCAAATTTGCAGTCAATATGAATTCACTATTTTTTTTAGGCAGACAATAAAAAAGAAGAGATGAAGATAATTCTGTTGATTTGGAATGAGGTGATTTTTTGCATATGGAGGTTCGAAAGCATAAGGAACAATAATATGAAGTTTTTTTTCTTGCAAAAAAAATCATAATATGATTTCATAAAAATCGACCCCACTTTATCTCAATAAAAAAGCACAGCACTGTCCAACAGGATGTTTGTCTTTGTAAAACTAATCATATTGATGATTATTCAGATACCGGTCCAAATGTGGTTCGAATCGCAGGACTAATAGTTGAGATATTATAGAGGGGGGTGCCGTTGGAAATGAGGCACACTGTAGATTCGTTAATGTTGAATATTTTCACATGGAAAATATCGGTAATATAGATTCTGGATTTTTCAGCCTCTGAATGTGATCTTGTAGGCGTTTTTGAAAAAAGTGGACGCCGCTTAGCTCAAAAAAAAATTATTTTCTCCCTCTACATTTAAAAAAAAAACGTGATAATCGCTCCATAAATAAAAAATTCATGAGGTTGGCTTGCTTTCAAATGGGCCACTCTGTAGATAAAATACATATAACAAGTGATATTAAAAACAATTGAATGTTCGAAATTTGTATATGTGTTTTGAGTTTAACATTATATATTCATGGTCGTAGGAAAAATAGTGCATTTCATGAACTCGATCGTTCACTCGTGCGAAATATGTCACTTTCCACACTAGTTACGTAATATACTATTTCCTAATTCCTGTTTCTACTGTTCGTAGAGATAATCCAATTCTGAATTCAATAGTTGACAACAAGAAATGGAACTTTCCATGACATTTTCATTTATGCCCTGGAGAACAATGAGATGGAGGTATTTTGAATTTTAAAATATCTTGATGAATTAGCGTGTTGTATACAGCGTATTTATGTACGTTGGTGTGTAACTGGATATTTTCACACTTTGCTGTTTCAATCATTATAAATTCTCACTCTTTGACTATACCCCAGTAGCACAAATATATTGGGACAATATTGGTGCAATATTAAGAAAATATCGGCAAAATAATGTGAACGTAATATTGGCGAGAAACGAAAAATGTGAACATTTGGCAATATTGGTTCAATATTAGTTTCAGAATTCGAATGGAATATTCAGAATAAGCATGTTGCAATGTCGTCTTGAAAACATTGGTGAATTTTTTTCACACACACAAATTGCAATATCGGTGATAATTGTTGGAAACAATATGTATAGGTACGATGTTGTGGTACGGACATTTGTGAAACAATATCATCTAATATTCATATATACATATTCTTCCACATATTGTCACATTTACCTCATCAGGCTGAACCACTATTCCACCAATATCATTATTTGAATATTGTATTTTGAATATACTCTCATAATATTGTTCATACATCTACAATATATAGGTCGAGAATATCAATTTGAGTGAAGAAGAGATTCCAGGACAAGCAGAGTCCTGGAAGTCTGTGAATTATTGAAGAAAATTTTTCCGATCGTGTTGTGCACACTACTTTTCTGGCAACTTGGTGAAATAATCAATAAAGCACGTTTCTCTATGAAATTCATTAGTAGAAAAAGATTCTAATTATTTTTATATATATTCATATCGGAATTCAAACAATATTGAAGCATTGAACCGTACCTTACAAATTAGGAACATTATATTAATAATATTCTTGAATAAAGAGATGGTGTTTAACACCATTCGGTACGTCATATTATTTTTTTTAGAATTAGTGTTATTGTCTATTGAATACACAAAAAACTAAAATTCATTTGAAGTGTATGAGTTATTTATTTGTAAATGAATTGAATAAACCATAACAGAAGATCACTTCTAAGAAAATGAAAATCTATAAGTGATTTTTTTTGTACGAAATTGTTAAAGCAAAAAAGAACAATGATTATAATATTTTATTTGCTTGAGGTATCTTATTATGGCTATCCCGAAGGCTATCCTTGAAATATTTACTGATATGGATGATATCTCATAAATATGTCATCTGAAGCCCAGGAAAAAAATTAATTTACGAATAATTTTTGAAAGATCAAATAATTTTGTACGAAAACGTTAGAGAACAAAAAAAATATCGAAAAGTTAGTGATTTAGTAGTGGAAGACTGACGCGAGTGATATAAATATATTTTCGCCATTTTTCCACGGTATATGACGTCAGCTCATGAAGTCACCTTGATAACCTACTATCTTGAAAGGAACTTCAATGAAACGTCAATGATACAACAATTAAACGTTGGTGAAACGTCATTAAAACGTCATCTGATTATCTGGGTGATAAACTAGTCGTTCAAATAACTATTTCTCTTTGGGCTCCTAAAATTACTGGCCTATGTATCATTACATAAACGAGATCGTGGTCTGGACCTTAGACCACCGCTCATAAAGTTGAGTAATTTATATACATGCGACTGCGGCAAGGGATATACAGATGACCATCTTGGCCTGCCTGTTTGGACGGAAGGACACTTGAAAGGTCCTCAGGGACGTCTATATTGACCCTGCGAACTGCAACGTACAGTGTGTCCCACTTTGAGCGCCACCACGTTAGTATCCTCTTATTATTCGTTGACCGATTTATTTATTTTTCCACTTAACATGTAGTAGGTTACTAATACACTGTTTAACCACACTGAGAATAACTCAGCCAAGTAAATCGTGTTCGTGAAAAACTGTTGATTGTGACTAAAAAATGTTCACCAACGGTACGAAAATGAGGTACTTGAAGTAGGCGAAGCAATATTTCTGAAACAATGTCTCTCCTAGCTAACCAGATGACGTCGTTTTACGTCAGTTGAATGACCAAGGTGACGTAGGAGTTGACGTCGTATGACGTGATGAATGACGTGAATAAGTCATAGCCCAATGACGTCATATTACTCACGTTTATTGACGTCATTCACTCACCAAACTCTGACGTCGGACTGACGTCGAAATGACGTCAATATGACGTTCAAATTAGGTGATGACAAGTAAAAAAGTTTCCTTGAACATGGCGTGATAATCACTGCTGACCTCTGATGACATATAATATTGATTATGCATAGTTGAGTCTGCTTGGTGGTCTCCCTCCGGTGTCATGTCTATTCAATCCTCTATTCAGCAGCGCTATCCCTCAGTACGCATCTCCATCAGAATGAAATCAGTTACTCGTATTTGTATGAAAAATTATGTAGTTTGTGTCGGCGAGATGTAAGCAAACCAAGAATAGTTTGATAGCAATGAAAATGATGTTGGCGAATTTAGCTTCACTTTGTTGAGTAACGTATATTCATGCATTATTTGTCACCCAACAAAAATCTAAATAGCAAATTACTGGAAAATTTTCTGAATGATGAAACTCACCAAATTGGTACGTCACACCGACGTGATTTTTAGACGTCATATATACGTCACTGCAACGTCATAAAATTGACGGTTTCAATATAGGGACACCTATATATTTCATTTATATATATACATATATAGCTTGATTGGTTTCCGAGATATCATTCGTCATCTGGTTGCCTGGGCTGCTGTAAGTAATCAAAAATGAATTGCTCTGAGTGTACTCATCGATAAAGACAATCTATCAAGTCGATTGGCGCAGGTGACAGCTCACCTACAGTTATGCACTTGTTCTCCGTTCGGATGTCTCCGATATATTATAATATGTATAAGTGAATAAGTCACTGATGACAATAGTAAATGAGTCTCTAATTACTTGTGATTAGGTGACTAATGACAAGCGAACAATTCACTAATGACAAGTGAATAAGTCACTAATGACAAGTGAATTAGTCACTAATGACGAGTGAATAAGTCACTAATGACAAGTGAATAAGTCACTAATGACAAGTGTTGTGTTCACTAACCGCTATCAATCTTCAATGAAATAGGTTTCGACATGTTTCGCTGACACAGTAGCTTCTTCAGGTGAAATCCTGTTGAATTAAGCTAAACTTACAATGGCTTGCCTTCAACTTTTATTACATATGTATACTTTTCCAACCTGAAGGATCAGAATTACCTGTGGAAAGTCTCGATAAACCTTCATTTTCGGAAAGTAGGCACAATATCTACATTCGGACTACGCCTGATTAACTTGAAAGGGTTGATAGCATATACATAATATTACCTACTCAGAAAACTAAGGTCTAGTTGATCGTTGAGTAGAATGTTACAATTTTTGCGTTTGTTGATTTCTAATGATTCAAAATTTTTTTTCTTCGAAACTATTTGGTATACGAAATTTTTACAATAGTGATAAAATGAAGGTAATTGATGAGTCTTCAAGCTCAAAAAATTTTAGAACCGTATCATGACCCTTAAAAAAGTTATGAAGAAATTGTCAAGGGGTGAGGGTGGTTTCAACCCTTCTACAATTTCTTTTAGGTTTCTTAGATTACCAAAAGGAAAGTAATCCTCCGAAATACACTATTGCCAAATTTCATAAAATTCGTTCCACTTATTCCTGAACAGCGTACAAAAATGTGTTTTTTCAAGTGAACTTTGAACCCTTCTCACGGACAAACGGTACATTTCGGCACATAAATAAATTGGGTCCAATCAACTTATTTTGACCTCCTCTACACGTGGTAGCTCTGTGTCCCAGCAATTTTGGGACACCCTGTATATTAGGTAAGAAAGTATGCTCACCTGATCGTGAAAAACACTAACCGCGCAGTTATAGTGTCTGTCATGGTTGGGTCCACATCATGTTAATCCTAACCCTAAATCACTAAACTACAAAGAGATAACATTTTCTTGAATTTGGGAGTACATCATGGTATTTTCTGCTTCATTGCAGTCAGTCCAAGAGAGGATAACTTCACAAGGAATGAAGCTTGCTGCCTTGAATGCTCTCGTCCACCGGTATACGCTCGACAACCAAAATTTGGAGGAGTTGAGTTCTACGCTGAAAATCGAAATCACAGAGTTGTATGAGCTCTACGATAATGCCCGTACATGGTAAGATTTTTCTCACGCTTTCGATTTCAGAAAAAAACACGCCATAAACCAGGCAAATCGGCATTGTTTCTAGTGGTATGTCGTACCATAAACCAATCATCCAAAACATGATGAAATAATGTTATTTTCAAAATATCAAAGCATCATTCGAATTATTACTATTTGATTATCCTTTGGAATAATTCCTAAATTTCATATTCCTAATGTTTTTAAATTCTACTCAAAATTACCTACCTACATTCCCAATCATGTATAATATTTCGCATTTCACATTCGAGAAGACATTGAATCATCAGAATTATTGCAGTAGATTTCGTTATTTTGTGTAACCTTGGTTTCCCAATAGTTCAAAATCATTTTTCTATAATAAGTGTTTTACTGTGTGTACTGAATAAATGCATTTCTAGCCAAACTCCATGTCTGTGGAATTTCCTGAAACCAATCGATTTTTAACTTCAATTTGTAACATTTATGAGAGAAAATTAAATATACAGGATGATCCACGTTCGAGTTATGACGTCCGTAAAATTTTTTTCAAATGGAACACTAAACAGGTTCTGAAATTCTGAAATATTTCAAATGCAGATTCTAGAAACAAACATAGTAAAAAAGGTTATTGGTATACATAGGTCCGACATGGTCCCTTAGTGGGCACTGAATTCTACGCACTGATGTATACAAACCCTATGTGTAATATATTTTTGAATTAAATTTTCCATGGAGATTTCTAAAATAAAATAATATATACGGTTAATACTGAATAATACACAAAGTCATCTCCACGACAATTTATTGTGAAAACTCACGGGTTCATTGTGAATAATCACATACATACGTATGTCCATCATCAGCCTAATGAGAAATTACATAGTCCTTAGTCCGCGACATAATCCATAAACCAAGAGAACATGACATCAAACTCCAGGGGGTGTAAAGTAACAGAAAGTTTAAGATGAAGCCATTTGAGCTTGTTATTGATATCAGGTAGTCTGACATAGCGCTTCTTTATCTCGGTCTTGATCCAAATACTTTGTGCCATATCCGTATACATATCCAGGGACCAGCTACTTATGGTAGCATTCATAAATTGTCGTGGAGATGAATTCTTATATTATTTAGTATTAACCACTGTACTCAACTTTGAGAAACGACGGACTTCTACCAAAGATTATCCCTTGAGGATGGAACAAAGTATTTGGACCAAAACCGAGATAAAGAAGCACTATGTCAGACTAACTGATTGGATTATGTCGTGGACTAAGAACTATGTAATTTCTTATTAGGCTGATGATGAACATACGTATGTCCGAAAAAATGTTCCCTTGATGTGATTATTCACAATGAACCCGTGAGTTTTCACAATAAATTGCCGTGGAGATGACTTTGTGTATCATTCAGTATAACCACTGTACTCCACTTCGAGAAACTACGGACTTCTACTAGAGAATATATACGGTGTTCCATTTGGAAAAATCTAATCTTTCCTCATAAATGTGGCAAATTAATATTGAGAATCTACCTGTTTCTGGAAATTCCTCAGAAATGGATAGAAAGAATTTATTTTTTTCCTAGACGGAATATTGCTTTTCTTCGTTGAAAATTTGTTTTTTTTTGTTCAGTGTCGCCGACAAGTTGTGTCAAATCGAAAGTATTTTGCCGGCTTGGAAGACTCTGGAGTTTCGGTTGGAACAGCTGCAGAAGGATCTGCAGGAAGACAAGAAGACCATTCATCTTCTGGACTCCTCACTGACCAACGGCAATTTCAGCGACCAAACTGCCACGTCCGTAAGGGAAGTTGCAAAGTTATTGTCGGAAAGTGTACATCAGGTGAGTCAGAGTTGCAAAAAAAGATCGAATACTTTTCCACCACCGATGCCAACAGTATGCCATTGATTAAATCAATGGGCCATATCGGTTGATGAATCAATGGACCATCGATTGAATCAATTGGCCATCAATTGGCCATCGATTCACCATCTTATTCCAGTTCGCCGTCTAGAGACGTTTCTCGAAGGCAGAGTTTTCTTGCGACGAAGCGCGAATAGATTTCGGCCGGAGTAAACCTGCATCATCAAATCTAATTGGTCCAGTAGATATCTAATTACTGTTTCAACGAACTGTCCAAATTTCATTGAAATTGGCTAATGCATTTTGAAGCTATGAATGAAAAACTAACACTCCGCATATCGAAAAAGAAGCATTTTCGGACCCGTGGTATAACTTGTATTTTGAATAATTCAATCTTGATCAGGGTTCGAAAATATCATGATATTTATATAAATATCATATCACATGATATATATTCGATATATATCGGATATATCGGATATACATCCGATATACAATCATGTTTGAAATTTATTCACTTAATTAAAAAACGGCATTGTTTCTTCCACAAACTATATTTTAACACAAACTAAATGACAAAAACCTATATTCTATTTATATTTATGTCTCTCTAATTAGGCAGAAAAAACAAAAATCATTATTAAAAATATTAAAATAAACAGATTTTTGTATTATTTTATCAACATTAATATTTCAACACAATCACGCGGTGATGCTTGCGCGGTAGCCGAATGAATCCCTACAGTAATTTTGTGTAGACATTTTCGGATGCTTAAAATGGTGGAAAACATTTTTTTAATTTAATAAATTGAATTGTCGAATATATCCTCCGAACCCTGATCTTGATTCTATACATAAACATTATGTTGTATCAGCAAAACAATAGTGCAAAATACGTATTTATATTGTCACGATCCTTGGCTTCCTGATGGGATAAGACCATTGGATCATCTTTGAGGGTAGCTCAGATAGGGTAGATTATTATATTAACTCAAGACACTAATAGTTAAGTGGTATGAGAAATAGTAAAAGCCATATTCAAAACATAGATACATTTATTAGATTATCATCGTATCGAAGAGGAATCATTATGGATACGACATACAATATACAAAATGGTTGAATAATACTTACAATATAGATAGAGCCATTTTCGGAGGGGGTTGTCGGGTAGAACGCACAAAGACCTAACTAAACTGATTAACGTGACACCACGGAAAGCAACTATTCGAATACCGATCATCAACTGCCCCCTGGAATATCCACAAATCTATATTTATCTGAAATCTCAAGTACTGTTATTGTTTAGGTAATTCTCGGTACGTTGTTGTTGGAGGTTACTCAGTCGTACAGGTTGTTGATGAGTCAATGCCAAAACGTGTTCCAAATGTTCATAAACTTTCGGTGCGATGGAAGAAGCAGGATTTGGAAATAATGAAAATATTGAATTATGATTTCGATTATAATTTTGGAATAATTACTTATTTGTGACAATTTGACGGAAACACAATGATCGAATACTTTTCCACCACCGATGCCAGCAGTATGCCATCGATTGAATCAATGGGCCATATCTTTTGAATCAATGGGCCATCGATTAAATCAATTGGCCATCGATTTACCAACTTATTCCAGTTCGCCGTCTAGAGACGCTTCTCCAAGGCAGAGTTTTCTTGCGACGAAGCGCGAATAGATTTCGGCCGGAGTAAACCCGCTCTTTCCGGATCGTTAACAGCGGCGGCGATCGGCTTTCGGGTCACGTATCACGGAATGTTCTACGGAATCAGCGTAAAAATACAAATTTAATATCGGGTCGTCGGGGCTCCACTTAGGCCCCCCGAGGTCAGATACGGCGATGGCGGACGACTAGGAGGAATGTACGCAGATTATTACCGGCGATTTCGGCGGAACACAAATATTTATGTGGACGCTCGAGGGCTCAAGGCTGGATCCTTGCAGATTTTTTTTTAACATCGCTTGGTGCGCACAAAAGGGAATCCCTATAATGTTCGAAGAACATCGTGCGTACCTAGGGAGGATAGGGAGATGAGGTAGGTGTTGGAATATCTTTTGAACTTTTGGAGATTATAGCAGAGATTTCTGAAGAACATTTCCCGTGGAAGTGTCTATAAGAAAGTGAAAGGTTGCCTAAATCTTTCGTATTATTTCCATCACGTGATATGTTGAGATACATGATGTATACAACTGAGTGTAAGGGTAGATATATGGTGTTTTAAGGATTTCGTACTCCTTGAATTTGGGTGTAAATGAATCGGTTCGTTTTTGATTGAATATAAGTCGTATATATAGACACGCTTTTGAGCTATGAATACTCTGTCAATGTGGCTGCTACTTCCCCATATAATTATGTTGTAGGATATAACAGAATGTATCAGTGCATAGTACACGTCAAGAAGGGTTTTTTTGTCAAGTATATTCTTCAATTGCAACATTGCATAGAAGTTTTAACTCAGTTTTTTGCAGACTGAGCTCACATGCGTTTTCCAGCTGATATTGTTTTCGACAGCTGTTCCTAAAAATATTGGAGATTCAGAAGAAGTGATACGCGTATCGTTAACGAAAACTTCAAGTGTTGTCTTGTTGTTCTTCAATAAAACTCAATAAGTACTGTCTTATCGGCATTAATCATCAGCCTGTTATAATGACACCAGGTGACAAACCTGTTGGAATGTTATAAATTCTCCTAGTTCGAGAATGTTATAGATTCTTTCAAATCATTCGAGAATGTTCCAAATCGTTCGATAATGTTCTGAATTGATCGAGAATATTCAAATTTGTTCGGGAATGTTCCATTTTGCTTGAGCATGTTTTTCCGAATTGTTCTAGATTTGTCGAAATTGTCCGAGAATGTTCCAATTTGTTCGATAATTTTCAAATCGTTCGAGCATGTTTCAAATTGTTATAGAATGTTCAAAACTGTTTCAGAATGTTCCAAATTATTCGAGATCATTCCAAGTTCGAGAATATTTCCAATTAATTTAAGAATGTTTCAAATCATTCGAGAATGTTCCAGATTATTTGAGATCATTCCAAGTTCGAGAATATTCCCAATTAATTTAAGAATGTTTCAAATCATTCGAGAATGTTCCAGATTATTTGAGATCATTCCAAGTTCGAGAATATTCCCAATTAATTTAAGAATGTTTCAAATCGTTCGAGAATGTTCCAAATCTGTCGAGAAGTTTCCTATTATTGTTCGATACTGTTCAAAATTTTTCGAGGGTGTCCCAAATTGCACGAGAATGTTTAAAATTGCACGAGAATAATCAAAATTGTTCGAGAACTTTCAAAATTGTTTGAGAATATTCCAAATTGTTTTCAGAATGTTCCAAATCATTCAAGAATGTTTAACATTATTTGAGAATGTTTCAAATCGTTCGAAGATGTTCCAAATCGTTCGATACGGTTCCAAATTGATCGAAAATGTTCCAAATTGCACGAGGATGTTCCAAATTATTCTAGAATGTTTTAAAACATCCCAGAATAACGTAGAACCTTCAACAATGTTTCTTCCCGTCGCAGCCCTACAGTCACCTTCACCAAGAGAGCTCCTTCTCCGACAGCGGCATCCAGAATGTCCCTGAATATTCCAGAATGTTCCCAATGTTCTAGAACATAGTAAATTGTTAAAGACTGTCACAGAATCTTTCAGGATGTCCAAGAATGTTGTTGAATGTTATGGATTCATCCAAAAGGTTCGAAAATGTTCTAGAAAGTGGTTAGAGGGCCTTCAAAAATTTTCAAGACGGTTATAACATTTCAGAAGATACATGAATGTTCCAGGGTCCTCAAAAATATTCTAGAACGATCAAGACATTTTTTTTTCAGAATCTTTCAGAATGCTTTACATGCTTAATAGGTTGTTTCAGAATGGCAGACATGTCGCAGGATGTTTTAGAATGTTATTGAATCTTCCAGAAGGTTGCGAAATGTTTCAGAATGTTCCAGAATGTGAATCTCCTAGTAGGCTATAGAATATTTCAGCATATTATAGAATCTTACATCAGATATAGTTCCATAATTTTATGAAATAACCTAGTAGGGTCGAGACTGTTATAGAATGTTTTAGATTGGTCTACAGTGCTCTTGCATATTGTAAGACGTTCTAGAATGTTACAGAATCTTCCAGAAAATTATATTCTTCAATTGGGTTCAAGATTGCTCCAAAAAAATGGATAGGGAGGGCTCTAGAATGTTTCAAGTTATTCGAGAATGTTCTAAATAGTTCGAAAATATTCAAAATTGGTCTATAATATTCGGAATTACACGAGAATGACCCGAATTGCACGAGAATGTTCCAAATCGCATGAAAATGGTCCAAATTGGACGGGAATGTTCCAAATTATTCTTGAATGCTCTAGAACATCCTAGAATCTTCAACGATGTTTGTTTTCGTTGCAGACGTACAGCCACCTTCACCAAGAGGGTTCCTTCTCCGACAGCGGCATCTCCGACGAGGGCTCCGAGCAGGAGATAGGCGAGAGACAGCGCCGGCTGGCGGCCATCCGCCGGCTCGTCCGGCAGCTGGAGCTGGGCCTGGCGCCGGACTCGCGGGACCGGCTGGCGATGAGAGAGAGGATCGAGTTGGCCGAAGAGGAGCTCAAAGCGCTGCAGCTGCGCTGTAGGGCGCTGGTCGTGCGGTCGGCGGCGTGCTGCGTGACGTCAGCGGACGGAGTCAGGTGAGAATTTACCGGTCTTACATCCGTCATCAGAGATCAACTGGTGACCTGCTCGCTCACGTCTCACATATATGGCAGTCATCTCTCCGATTACTCATTAGTAAAAGTTAATAAAACACTCTCATAATCCATAAAACTCTAGAATTAATTCGTATCAGGAACGGAATGAGTTTATTTTATGTAAAGTTTCTGTAAGAATAACTGACCTGGTATAACAATTATCAATAATCTGATCAAATTTCCCTAGAATCTCTTTGTCTTGAGATTCTAGGTTTATCACCATCTGTTAGTGGAACATTGAACCACTTTGAGAATCACAGGTGTTGCGACCCAGGTAGCAGAGTGACGTCCAATTGACGTCATTTTTTGTTCATAAAATGACGATGTGGACGTCCAAAAATGACGTCTGAGAGACCCTATAATAACGTCAAAATGTCACAGCTATATGACGTCATATTTAGACGTCATAATGACGTCGCAGGATGACCAATAAAGGACGAAATAAAAAAAAATTGGAGGTTTATATATATACACGGTATTATTGGTACAAAATTACACCACAAACCTTTGACGACATTGATTTTGTAACTATACGTTGTGGTCACTTGATTGATGGTCCTCCCAGGCAGTCCTGTTGAATCCTAGCGCTATCACTACTACCTATGAATCTCTATATCACAATATCGTTAGCAACTCGTATTTGTACCTAATATTATGTAGCGAGCGTCGGCGAGATGTAAGCTGAATAAACTCATTTTTAGCTAAACTATCCATTTCTAAGGAATCCTCTGCAACAGGTCGATTTTATATCCGATTTGTCACATTTGAGAGCAAGAATCATATATATACAGGGTGATCCACGTTTAAGTTAAGACGTCCGCGGCAAGTTTTTCAATTAGAAACAATAATAACCTTTATAAGATACATGCAATTTTTGAAATATTCATGGAAGTCTGAATTTAAAAATATATTACACATAGGGTTTGTATACAGTGTGTCCGTTAAATTGAGTGATCTGGCGTGAAGTAAATAAAGTAGCCAATCAATGTACTTATAACCATACAATTCCTTTCTGAGGAATCTCCCAAAATAGGTTTATTTTTATTTCAAATTACCAACATTATTGAGAAAAAATTGAACATACAGGGTGATTCAAGTTTGAGTTACAACGTCCGCGACCATTGTTTTCATAGGAACACCCTATATGAATTATTCGATTTTTGGAGTCTCTATGGAAAGCTGGATTCAAAAATATATGAGCTTGTATACAGTGCGTTCGTTGAATAAAGTTCTTTTGTGAAGTTGCGAATAAATTCGTTGAGAATTAAAAAAATATGTTTTTCTGAGAGAATAACGTTCGAAGCCGTAGAATTTTATTTTCATTCAAGCTTAATCTCATATTAAATCAATATATACAGAACAATTCGTGTAGGAGAAATTACGTCATCTTTATTTTTTAATGGCGATCCAATTTTACGAGAGAACTGAATTTAACGAACGCCCTGTACACAAATCCTTTGTGTGATATACATTTGATTACGAAAATTCAATAATATATATCCGTTTGAAAAATGTGTCGTGTACGTCATAATACAAACGTGAATCATCCTGTCATCATCATGATTTCTCGTTATAAATGTCTTAAATTAGAAATAAAAGCCTCTCCTGTTTTCTCAGAAATATATAAGGTAGATAGATATTGGATAATAAATGAATTTATCCACTACTTCACGAGAGCATCTAATTCATTGGACGCACTTACCTATACAATCCACATGATTGTGTTAAACATTTTCGAATTCCGCTTCCCATGGTTATTCCAATGATTGAGTAATATATATATTGGGGGCTCTATTTGAAAAAATTGTCGTGATGGTCATAACTCAAACGAGGATCACCATGTATTTATATTCTATTTTTCTCATAAATATGGCAAATTGAAAATGAAAATCGACCGTTTTCAGCAGATTCCTCAAAAATGCATAATTTGCCTAAAAATAAATTTGTTCGTCAGTACTTACGAAAACACTGTATATACAAACACAAATTTAGTACGTACAATTAACAAACGATGAAAAGGTAACAAAACGACTGATTTTTCTTATTTGGTCGAATATACTACTCTATAGGGACGTCATTAAGACGTCCAATATTGAACGTCACTAAGACGTCATGAAATATGACGTCATTTTTTGGTCCCTCAGAAGTCGAGGACGTCATTGACCAATAATGACCTAAAAAATACGTCATTATGACGTCATTTCACTAACCTGTGCTACCTGGGGATAGTCTACAGAATTCTGACATGGTGTCTTTTCTGTAAGCATTTAGACGTGAGGGTGTATATGCACAACTTACTCGCAATAAGGTATGATTGATGAATCTACCTATACACCTTTGCACTCAAGCCACTAGATTGCTATGAGAGCTAGATCGTCCTTCTGGCCCCTCAGGGCTTCGACTGAAATAATCTGATCGACTAAAAAAATCGTAAGGAATTTGTTCAAAAAGGACTGGACTGAGTAAGGAATTTGAATTTATGAATATAAAACACGATAAACAATTTTTAGTAATGAACATAACAAGAAAATGTAACCGTGAAAAACTTTGATACATTTTTGAGAGCGTTCTAGATGATCACAGTAAAGTATACAGTACTGTAAGTAAAGTAAAATCCAAATCACTCTGTATGTCAGTAATGAAGTGGTTTTGGACATTTGAACATGGCATTTTGCAATGATATGGACAGTTTCTATAACCCACTTTATAACATCCTGTATATCTCTAAAAAAAAAAGAATGGATAACAAATCTTTATGTCTGTTTTCACAGAGCATTAACATCGAACATTCACTACCTGATTCTGCAAAGGTAGTTGGGACTCGATTTGGTTGAAATACTTGCAGAACTACCATCTAATATAAAAATGTACTTGACCCTGTTTGTGATCCTCAGTTGCTGTGAAACTTCAAATTCAATTTCATTTATTGTTCCAAATTCGGAGACACCCTGTATATCAATCAATCAATAAATCAATCATTTATTGGTTTCATTATACGATAAATGTATTCACAATGTCATAAACATAGAGGGAGAATGACTTCTCTATTAAAAATAATAATGTCATCTTAAATGTCTTGAAAACTACACATTTATTATCAAACAAGTGAATCATAAGGAGTGAATTATAAGGACACAAAATGACAGTTTAAAAACTCATCAAACGAATAAAATGCTTTTTCCTGTAAACATTTCTTGAGATTTTCTATGAATTCTGAACCTTCCATTTCTTCCAGAACAGAATTTGTGTTTGAAGTTTTTTTTGTTTCTTGTATTATGGTCATGATTAGACTGGCGAGTTTTTTATAGACGAAGTTTTTTTTTTAACATAGCTTAGACATTCAAGAATGAAAACACGTGGGGATGTCAAAATGTCTAGATCTCTAAATGCTTGCCTACAGTCATCACGATGGGGTAAACCTGCAACAACTGCCCGTCGTTAAATTTTGAAAACCTTAACAGCACTTGCAGCATGTCCCCAGACAAATATCGCATAAGAAATGTGGCTGACAGAGAAAAATAGCACTGTCTTACAACCATTCTATCTAAACACTGAGAAAGATTTCTTGGAACAAAAATGTGTTGAGTTTATTGCATACTTTTTCTGAATGTGGCCTCCAGTTTAATTGGAAATCTAAGAAAACTCCCAGAACAGGTTTGCCGAGAATCAATTTTCGGCATTCGACTGTGCCTATCTTGAAACCGCTAATACTTCATCATAGGATTTTAAAGTTTATAGCTAATTGTGGTGTCATCTGCAAAGAGGGCGAATCTTGCAGGTGAATCTATACAGGGAAGGTCATTTATGTATGTTAGAAACAGGACTGATCCTTGGGGGACACCTACAGTTATAACGCTTGTGTTAGATTCCACTCCTTCATTTTTGACTACCTGAAACCTATTAGAGAGTTATGATTTCAGTATCGTAATGCTATTTTGATAAACTATATTGTTCAAGTTTCTCTAAGAGTGAAGAATGGCAGACATAGTCAAATGCCTTGCTGAGATCACAAAACATAGTTGCGACAAACTCCCGATTTTCGAAGGCTTCTTGAATTTTAGAAACAAAGTCTAGAATGGCCGAGGTTGTGCTACGGTTTTTCCTGAACCCAAACTGACGGTTTGAAAAAATTCGATAAGATTCAAGGAACTGAACCATTCTCAATGCCATAACCTTTCCTGTAATTCGTGAGAAGAGGTAGAAGGGATATGGGCCTTTAGTTTGTTAGCACAATTATACATTCCCTCTTGGCACTATAGAACCTCCAAATCGTTGTTCTTACAGGCCTCCCCAAGAGGAACATCCCCCGAAAGCCCCAATCGCCCCTACCGCGTCCAACGACAGTGGCGACCCGGGCAGCGGCCCTTCCTCCGTTTCGTACTTCCGGCGCATCTTCAGGGCCTCCCTGCTCTTCCAGCTCGCTCTACTGGCCCTCGTCTGCGTGAGCTGGCTCTTCGAGCCGAAATGCTGCGACCAGATGAACAACTTCTCGTGGGGGCTGAGCCCCAAGTTGCATTACGAGGGGCGACCGCCCATATGAAGGGTGGGAGCTCGAAGGAAGGGTATGAGGGAATTGTGTGGGAATCATTCCACTTAGCAAAGTTGGAAGTTATGTTGATGCAAGGTTGTAAAAGTCAGTGGATCTGATGACGTTCAGCAATATATTGCAAATGTAAAATTCATAAATGTAACGTTCCAGCAATGTCAAAGCAACATGTAATATTGCTGCAATGGTTCATTATTAAACTCCACCTTTGCAATATTGCTTAACGTCCGTTTCAATAATTGCTGCAACATTGCATCAACATAGCTTTCAACTTTGCTCAGTGACACCAGTGCTGCTTGACATGATTGAGCTTACTTTTTGGCGTTGAAGGCAATAATGTCGTAGGGCAAGATTACTTTGATGATGATGATTTGTATAGGGTTGTTCATTATAGATTACCCGCTCTTTATCATTGTTTTTATTGTCAATGGAAAAACAAGTTCGGAATGAAAGTTATGACTTATTTTTATTGAAGTGTTGTCGAAAGTACAGCAGTGTGCAGATTTTAGGAGGTGCATAAAAACTGAATTTGTAGTTAATAAGTGAAGGTTGAAATTTTTGGGATTTTCTCTCCTTATCCTGTGAATTAAAATATCAGTTTTATTTCAATATTCTTGCTGTAGTAATATGATAGCTAACAAGGAATTATCGTCGCATGTATAGAGTGCACCGAAAAAAAAGTCGAGGGATTTTTTTTTTTAAATGGAATGTTTTCAAGCATCTCAGTGATCTTCAACTACCCGCTTCAATATTGTTGACTATATTTCAATCACTTGAGACTTATATTTTTTTGTCTAAATAATTTGCAGATACTAGAAAAATCTCTATCGTCGCTATTATGTAATTTGTAATGAAATTATCAATAATGTCATTAGCTAGACATAATTTGTAAAATATATGAATTTTCATGCTCTGAAATCAACCAGGGTGGCTTAAAATGATATTTGAATTCGTAACTTTTTGAATTGAGTTTTCTCGAGTTTTCAAAATGGAACACCCCGTATATTTTTCGTCTATGTGATGTAGGATTAGGATACAAATACTTTTTCATGTGCACGTTCCAATGACTATTTCTAACATTTTGCTATAGGGACGTAGGAACTTAAATTGTTCATATATTGCAATTTTACAACCTACATGAACGCAATATATTTGAGAAAAAAACGAGACAATTCGAAAAGATCCCAATTGAAAAAATTCGGTTCAGCCGTTTTCAAAATATTCGAGGTTGAACATTTTTTAGTTAAAATTTGGTTTCACCAAATCGCACTTGCCATGAAGAATCAACAACACATATAAAGAAAATTTGACAGACAGTTTGATTAATGACAACCTGCATATGTGTTGTTGATTCTTCATAGCAATTGCGATTGGCTGGATTGAATATCAATATCGAATTTGTTTCACCTCGTACAATTTTCTGGAGTGATAACAAATTCTACAACTTTTGTATTTGAAGTTTTCTCCTATCTTCAAAGATGAACCCTGTAGAAGCTGTTTAAATATACGGAATGACCCTGGACAATTCTGATTAGTGAGAATGGATCAGAAATATGTCACATCTGTCTGTTGAATGGCTCCAATAATATTCCCTTTCAATATTGTGATGAATATGACGTCAAAGCTTTTTCCAGTATGCATCTGCGAACGATATTATTTCGACATAAAAAATCATAACTTGCAAGTGAATGAGAAATAATAAATATTCGAGGGATGGTTGGGATCACTGAAATACTAGAAAAATGTACTTATGTACGTGGCATTCTCATTTAAGAAATGGTCCACGGTTCACAAGTGTTTTTTTAGTGGCCCCTGTATATGTCGCGATAAAGTATATCCACATACCATGTTGTTTATAACTATTAGGGTTTGCAATCCCAGAGTAATAATACAAGACCCGGGATTCCAGAATCAAATTGATACGATCCCGGGATTTCGGTATTGGGATCAGAATTTGAAAAAAGTATGGGGTATACTGTAGATACGTAATGATCACATCAATACTCGCATATGAACTAAAAATGTAACCTATACATCAAAAAGTAAAGAGAAAAAAAGACGGAACATTTATTACTTACAGTAAATGTGTTGCGTACAAAAATCCACTCGTAAAAGAGTATTATCTGCGAGACAATTGCTGATTTTTGTGCAAATGGTACTAAAGCTGCGGAAAATACTCTTTCATATTCTACACTAGTAGGTGATATAGTTATTAAAAGATATGTACCTTTGATGTCACCATTTTCGAATTTCCTTCATTAAATTTGATGATATCTTATTATTGTGTAGAGGTTCAGTCAGTGATGCACTCGGTGACGCCTGACTCGCAGGAGGATTTCTATCTCAATCATCATCTTGTTCATCAATTATTGCCTCTGAAACTATTAGGAAACGTTTTATATGACTCACGAGTATCTCCATAATAACTGTTTTTCAGGAATTTTGAATGATAATGAGCTGATTCACTTGACGAGAGCGAAGTCTTATTGGTCGAAACTAAACCTGAGAATCCCAGAATCTAATCGGATGTGATCCCGGGATTCCCGGTATAAAAATATCACTAGAACCCCGGGAATTTTCGGTATCGGTATTTCGGGATTGCAAACCCTAGTAACTATTCGTTCTCGATTCGTGTTCCTAGCTATCATAGGACTCGAGCAATCGTATTCTGACACACAATTGCTCCACCCTGTATATATTTTTTTTTATCGCTTGGAGCGCACGAAAGGAGAGCATGAGAGCACAGGTTTATTTCTTCGAAGATGTGTTCAATGACCCTTGATGTGTAGATAGTTAGTATTTATACACAAGAGAGAAAATCGCAGAAATTTAGAGAAATGAATACAAAATATATCTTTTATACAGGATGAGGCACTGAACCGCACATATGCCTACCACGTTCGATATCAAGTAGCAGAGTGAGCCCACTATAGTTTCCTTACATCATTCTCGAAGGTTATTGAAACGATACAGTCTTTTTTAATAAAGGTGCAGTATTTACTATTCGATTTGTACGCACATGGAGTGAATGTTCAAGTTTGTTTATTGTTTACTTCCATTATTTGGGGTAAGATCTGATTTTCTGGAGCAGATATGATTGTAATAACTTTTTCTGACCGAATTCGAACTGTACATGTCTAGCGATGTCATATTTCTAGGAGGAAAAGTCAATAGGTATGCAGGAGGTCACAGATATACAGTGTGTCCACCCTGTGAATTTTGTTTGTTAATATATATCTGGGATCGATATTCAACAAGCGGGTGATATTTAATGAATGAATAAATAAATTGAAGTTCTTATTCATCATTCGTTTGCCCCCTTACGAGCAACCCTCGAAAGTCTTCAAGAGACTTGTGCGAGCAAGGTATGACGGGGGTCTTACCTTTTTAACATGTGATCTCAAACACTTTTTTAGGCCACCCCCCTACTGGCAATCGAACGTGGATAGAATACTGACGGTTCAACCACGAGGCTACGCTGGCTACCAAAAGTAGATTTCAAGAAATGAAGGTAGTTGTGATTGTCCAAAATCTCAAAATTGAAGTCACTCACTTGTTGAATGTGAATCTTGAATAATTGAACGAAACAAAGTTTATGCCAAGATTGATGAAAAAATTAGTCAATCAAGATTTTTTGTAAGGGTGGTGAGTCATTAGGGTGAATGTACGTGCTATGATTTCAGAGATTTCAATTTGACCAGCCCGCAATCTTTTCTCAGCATTTTTGTCATCCGCAAATTCACATCACTATTTCCAGATGAATCGAAGTAATTGAAAAAAATCACAATTCAGACTTTTGTATGTATTGGTACGACCACCTAATTATATATGGCAAGAACATAATTATTTTTGCTACAATTAGTGATTTTTGAAAACTGCTGTGGAGCCCAAGTTTTATCCCAACTTGGCGGGGAAAAACAGCTAGACACTGAGAAAGGGATGTTTTCATGAGAATGAAATATATTTTTGTAGAATTATTTATTGTTCAATCCATAATGGATTCGGAAAGAGTTGAGCATAAAAGTATATTAGTCTGGTGAGTACCGGTGGTTCCTGAAATTCTACTGGATTCACTGGAAGGCTCAAAGATTTTACAAATAATTAATATTTTTTGGATGTCTCGGTAAATGAGAGCAATTACTCCTCTATCTCAATGAAATGCACTTATATTTCTTCATATTGAATTTATGAAAAAAAAAAACACCCCTGCCAAGATATTCACACCCTCATAAGGAAGAGCTAGGCATATCACAGTCTCAGCTATCTGATACATCCCTGAATGAAAATTTCAAACTATGTATTCTTCACTGAATAGGAAAATTCTGCCAGATCTGGAAAATAAACAATATGTTTTATGTTGGTAACACAAAAAATAAAAAGACTATTCAAAATGACCATTTATCGTCTTCGTCTATTCTTCTCGTTTTTTAAACCACCAACATACCCAAAATGTTTCTCACTCATCACGTTGGAAACCTGGAAATGAGGAGATAAGAAGGAGGAATAATGTTCTCTTTTAATGCAAGCTGAACTTCTCTATTGAGAAGGAATGTTCTCAGATATAATTATGAACATTAAAAAATGGATATACATATATATCAATCTCCTTATGTTCATTATTATATCTGAGAATATTCCCTTTCAATACTTTCACCCAATCATGGGGTTCAAACTTGAACGATGGAAACTTGTTATTTTTATAGACCTCAATCGCAGATTCGTGAATAGTTTTCCTCAATTCAGGATTTCTTTCCACGTCCTGTATGATGAATATCAATGTATCATACATCCAAATGAACTTATCTAATTGCCTTCGAGAACACCGTCATGAAAATCTTCATGGAATTCCATTGAATAGAAACAGAGTAGACTTCTTTGCCCAATATCCCTTTCAATGATGAATTTGGGGATAGCCATTTTTGAAAATATATCGATTCTCAAAATCGATCTGGATCGGTAGAGAACGAATCGATTTATTTGAAAATCGAACCTCG